TATTGTAAAATAGTTTTTTTATATGTTGCACACCGGGTGAAAAGTCAGTCGTGTAACATCGACGGTCGCTCCTGTAACCCTGACCGTATGTGAATTAGCGGAAACTTCGTCTCCGCTAATTCCCAACGGATCAGGATATTATTATTACTAAGCTCATTTCATAGACAAAGTAATTATAGTTTAGGGCTAATTAATGTAATTTATAAGTAAAAAAACTCAGTGAAATGAGCTGTCGGTGTAGCCTTATTTTTGAGATTGATTCATTTGAGTGATGCATACTACAGTACTAGAAAGTGCCTCGAACGAGTTTTAAAAGAAATACACAAATAGTGGAAAATTTAATCATTCGAATATGTATGTATGAAAATCGCCTTTGTACACTAATTATTGAAAGGAATTTAATTTTACATATTCCTATCGTAGTATCCTAAATCTTGTTTTCTTTTTCAGGGATGTATGTAAAAAAAAAAATGCGAAGCACAGGAAATGAGCTTTAATTTTTTTTTTTTTTAAAAAAAAAAAAATCATATTTGAATACTTTGCTAAAAAACTTGTCATTTTTGAAATTGATTATTTTGTAAGCTTTTTTGAGAAATTCGCGTAAAATGTAAACGAAGTCAAGGTTTTTGTTTCAATTAAATGAATTTCAATGTGTTCTTCCAAAAAAAAAAAAAGTTCTGAAGCGAGACTAAAATAAATGATGCATCTTGATTTTCTAACGAAATCATTCCTCCATAAATATATACTTATAAAAATTTGATTTAAATTTAGTTCCTCAATGATAATTTATAAATCATTATAAGAACATACAGTAACTCTCAAATTGTTGAATAGAAACGTAGTTTAAATCAATCCTTTTAATGTTAATTTATCATGACATATTTTGTATCTGGCGATTAGTGATTTTGGCCGAAAAAGATCGGCTAAAGAAAATTATCGCTTTAGCCGGTCGATTTTTTTAAAGTCGGCTGATCGATATGGTATGGTCAAAAATATTATGAAAATTTCCGATATAGAAAATGAATGAACCTAAAGAACAAAATTAAATAGTACAGTAGGTTCGGCCAAGCCGACTAAGCCAATAAAATCTATCGGCTTGGTCATAACCGAAAAATCATGCTCGGCCAGAATCACTACTGGCGATTAAATCTTTATCAAGAAGTTCAAGCTAAATGGTTTACTGTAACAGAGTGTGTCTTGCCGCTTATATACGGTCTAATTGTACGAAAACTAATTACACAAGAAAAGAAAAAAAAAACCAATGTTGAAAGAAAACCAATACACAAAAATTAGACCAATCGTTCATTTATTAATAATAATGTGTCAAAATTTATAAAGTAAACAATAAAAAAATATATAATTAAAATGGAAAAGAAACTTATAATAAACTTTATTTTATACAGTCAGACCTCTCTAAATGCACGTCGTCGGGACCAGCTCTAGCACGTGCATTTAGAGAGGTATTGCATTTAGGGAGGTAAAAATCTATAGATGTAATATTAGTTGGGCCCAAAAGAAGACGTGCATTTAGGAGGGTAGCATTTAGGGGGGTCTGACTGTATTTTGTATAATAAAAAAATTCCTAATCTCCGAACTTTAATCATATTTAGCTTTACCATATAAATTGAATAATCCATTTGACTATTTTATTTTTCTTTGAATCTGGAATATTTCGTATTCTGATATTGAAAAATAATTAGTTAAATAAAAAAAAGCGGTTTTAATTGACTTTTCATAAGAAGTTATAGTACGATAACATCCATAATTGTTATTAAAATTATTGATCATTTTAAGATCACCATTTAACCAACCACCAAAGCATGGACCATAATTAGGATGACAATAAATTGCATATTTTTTAATTATTACCCGACTTAAAATAGAGGAAGTAATCGTACCATTTTTCAACGAAAAAATAAAACTATCTTCGCATTTCACAAAGTTTTTAATTGATTTATCCCATGTCATAGGATTATATCCACCAAGAATTTCATCAGTATTTTCAACCTTCATGATCACAATAGTATTTGTTTTCTTATCACATATATTCCAAAATGATTCTGCAGTAAACCCATCTCTGGTTCCACGAAGAAGTAATTTAAACTCATAAGGATTATTTTTTTCCGAATATGTTTCTGACTTTTTATCAATCCATGTTGCAATTTCGGCTGCATGTGCTTCATTAATAATTGTGTTCATCGCACGTATCGTATCGATGTTGCTCGAGGTGGAAGAATTGTTGATGATATCTCCCGATTTGGGTTCGTAATTCTTTTCATTATGTCTTTCCAAAGACCTCTTTCCATGATTGGTTGATATGGTTCTATATTATCAACAATGTCATCTACAGATATTTGAAAATAACGTATATGAGGTAAACAATTTCGTAACGTAGTTTTTAAAGTAGAAAAGTCTTCACTAGTCCAATTTTCAGGTTCAATTAATGATAAGCCTGGATTTTGTGCAATTCCCCATTTGATAACATAATTCCAAAGTTTTACTTCTTCCATTTGTAAATCATCTCGTTTAATAAGTGAGACTAACGCATTTTCTTGAAGTAATGTAAATTCTTTAGAGTCAAAAATTTTATTTGGATACTTTGCTAAAAATTCATTACACCAATTTTGTAATTTTTGTAATTGATTATTTTGAAAACTTTTTTGATAAATTCGTGCAAAATGTAAACGAAGCCAATTAGTTTTTGTTTCAACTAAAAGATTTTCAATATGTTTAGTTAATTCTTCTAAAAGAAATTCTGAGATAAGCAAGAGATTAAAAATGAATGATGCATCTTGATTTTCTGACGAAATTACTCCTCCATAAATATATCTTTATTAAAATATATAATTATATTTTAAATTTAGTTTTTTCGATATATGTATAGTTTATATATCATTAATAAAAAACATACAGTAACTTACTTAATAATAACCTCAAATTGTTGAATAGAAACATGTTTTAAATCAATCATCTTAATGTTATTTGTATCTTTAGTAGCGTTAGCTAATTTATCACGAAAATATAATGACCTATATCTCAAAACATTCGAATGTGCACGAAATATCCTTGTATCTGGCGATTCTCCGACATTAATGATTACGTTAAAATCTTCTTTATCATTAAGAAGTTCAAGATAATCTGTCGAAAGTTTTCCTAAATGGTTTACTGCCATTAGTATAAGAAAAGAAATTGCTGATTCCTTTTTTTAAAAGAGGAAAATATCAATATATAGACGAAAGTTCGTTTATTGATCAGAAAGATTTTCTGATTGGCTTAGGATAAACTTTATGCTCTTTATGGATTTTGATAATCTTCACATAGTGTGGTGTAATTTTCTCACGTGAAACTTGAAATCGCTTTTAATTGTCTATTATATGATCCAATTTGATCCAAACGTTTATACCTGTATAATGTAAAGATAATTTTAGTTAAATAAACTTATATTGAACTTATATTTTTTCAGTAGAAATAAAATCAAATTTCTGAATTGTCTATAATATTATTTAGTTATTTAAACAGATTGCTTTTATATTATTAAAATACAGTATTATATTTAAAAGATAATATTAGATTATATTCATATATTATAAACATATTAATCATGTTAATAGTGACTTAACAGAATTACAAAAATATAATAATATTTTTAATATATGTTTAACACATGTTTATCGTTATCTAAAACCAGTTAATTCCGCAACTCATTACTGCAGTACGTACTGTATTCGGTTTTGATCGGTTGGTTCAGGGCCCGAATTTTTCTTAACCGCATACAGAATTTGGCCAGGCCCTAAGCCAGCCGCACATCTAGAATGTGTGACAGGTTGATCGACAAATTAAGAAAGTTTTTTTTTTTTTTATTCCAAAATTTTGCCTACGAAACCACTCTTGGTGCTCTAAGAAAAAAGATTCTACTCATAATTTTGGTATAAATTCTGCTTAACTATCCTTTATAACGCTCTTTCAATCTAACCATATAGGCCGATGTTGATCAATTAGCGTAACCTGTCACACATTTAAGTTCTGCAAGCCAGCCGATCAAAATCATGTGGCTTTTAAAAGCAAGTCCTAAATTAGTATTGGTTCCATCAAAACACGTCGCTTTTTATTAGAGTTGATAAAAATGATTCGATCATTAGATAATAATACTATTAGACGTATTTCCAGTGGACAAGTTATCACTAAAGTTGAGGATGTAGTAAAAGAGCTTATTGAGTAAATAATTAGCAGAAGTTCTTTCTTCATGACCGATTAAATTTTCTTAATGAGAGTATAATCGGAATTTGTATTTAAAAAAAAACAAGGAATTCTATTGATGCACGAGCGACTTCAATAGAAGTGAGGTTGGTCGGAGACGGACTTACATCCATTGTGGTAAGTTATTCTCTTGTTTTAAGGGTCTTGCATAGATATTATTTTTAATAGTTTATTAATTATTATATAAACGCGTTCTTGATTATTAAAGGTTAAGGATAATGGAATAGGAATTCCGGAGAATGATAGGCCAGCGATGGCATTGAGGTATCATACTTCGAAATTAGAAGATTTTGGAGGATTGAGTAAAGTGGAAACATATGGATTTAGAGGTAATCCTAATTTTTTTTACAATGCATAGTCAATTTATGTTTATATATAAGTATTTAATTTATATGTATTTCCAGGCGAAGCCCTTAATTCAATTTGCGCTATATCTGAGTCTATGCAAATAACCACGAAAACTTCTAATGATCCAGTAGCCATAAATTATTTACTTGATCGAACGGGAAATATTGTAGAGTAAGTATTCAAGCTTTACTACATTCAAGTTTAATCGCACTAATATTAATTATCATGATAAACTTTTTAATAGTTCAAAATCAGTTGGAATTACTGAAGGAACAACTATTGTAGTTACAATGCTGTTTTCACCCGTGCCAGTTCGTAGACAAGTATGACTAACTACTTGCTTATTGTTATCTGTTCCTTATAAATCGAGATATTGATAATTTTTAATAATATTATAGGCTGCTCAAAAGAATTCATCAAAAGTCGGGAAAGCAGTACAAAGCCTTTTAACAATTTATGCCCTTGCACATCCACATATTCGATTTTTTCTCAAACTAATATATGACAATGCTGCAAAGTTAAATTTCAAAGCTGGTGAATGGATTCTTCCACCAATGAAAAGCCAAATACAATTATTGAATGAACTTTATGGTGTTGAGTTCACCAACAACGTTGGATTTGTTGTTTGGGATACTGATAAAGAAGAGACTTCTGTAGATATAGAAAATGAGGATTATGATATATTAGATGGATCAAATGGTACGAAAAGTACAATCATAATTGAAGCCATATTACCAAAACCAGATGCGAGTAGGTGTGACAATTGATTTTTTTTTAAAAAAAAATTATAAATTAAACTAATTAAAACTGAATTGTTGATCTTATTACCGTTAATGTTTTTTTTGTAGCACCACAAGTTATTTTTAAGAATGGTCAAAGTTTCATTTACGTTAATAATCGTCCTGTGATTGCAACTAGAGGGGAAATAAAAAGCATCGTATCCATGGTAAAATCTACTTACACAGATATTGCATGTAAACATGGTTGGACAGGTACGTAAGAGTAAATTTTCATCTATCAGTCTATTTGTTACCAATTTATTTGTCATTTATTTTTTTGAATTGCATAGCAAATAAAAAGACACCGTTTATGTGGATAAATATCAAGTTACCAACTTATGATTATGATAGTAAGATAGTATTATTTAATATATATACCATAATTTTCAACTCATGTATAATTCACTTTATTATTAATTAATATTCAAGTTAATGTCGAACCCAGCAAGAATTTCGTGTTTTTTCATAAAGGCGAGTGGATCTTAAATGCGATTAAAAATATGTTGATTAATGTTTATGGCAGTTGTCAGAAAGTGTCATCAGAAAAAGAGTATAGGTACATTATTATTATAATTCGTGATAGTTAATTTAAAATGTTAAAATGTTTCATTATAATGTTTTTTGAAAGGGTTCCACAAATCGATCCTGCGGATCCATCTTCATCCAATAATAATTTATCACCAATTTCTTCCGAGCTACTCTCTTTAACATCTAGTGAACCGTCATTGACTGATGATACAGTAATTGGTTTGTCATCTGTTTATCAACGTTCGTCAGAAACGATAGCACAAAATGATCCAGAATTAATTAATTCTTATAGATGATATAGATGATCAAGGTCAGAATGTTGTTTCCGATAAAAGAAAAGGAAAGATGGTAGATCATGGATCAGTAATGTCACAAATGTCAGACCAGGCTACGAAGAAAAAAGTGAATAAAGAAAAAAGAAATGATGTCAAGGCATCTCGATCACTTGAAGAATGGTACAAAAATGCGCAAACTTCAGATGTTCCAACCACGTTTTCTATCTCTAGTCCACCGAGCACACCACCACCACATACGAATAATTTGCAACATAAAGACCGTAAAGGTTCGAAAAATACAGTGTCAAACCCTCCACAAAATGACATAGCAAGATTGTCATATGATTCTATAAACATTGCGCATGATGAAAGTGAAGTTAACGGAGAATACGGGTTTCCCAATAGCCAAGGTAACGAAGACTCTAATCAAAGAATACAGAGGAAAAATTACTCATCAGGTCTTACAGATTCTACGGATAGCTCAAATGTTAGGAGAAGTAGCATTGATGATGGAGGGCACGTACGTAAACGTTCAACGTTGGATGTTATGGAAGATATTGAATGCAACATGCAAGGACAATTTTATAATGAGAATTCAAGCGAAACTTGTCGCGATGATGAAAGCTATACACATAAACGTGCAAGAACTGATGACTCTGAAGATGTAGTTGATTCTCAAGGGGCATCTATTAATAGTTGTAATGCAATTGGTGACTCTACAAAAACATCCTCCCCGTTATATAATAATAATAAAAGTCAAACAGAAACTCGTACAGAATTTGAGAAGGATCACGAGTCAATTTCCACAAATATCGTAAATGTTTGTGAGTCAACACCATTAGAATCTACCAATGAGACAAACATTTCAGAACAAATAATGCACGAGTCTGAAAGTAGCATTAATATATCCGAACAATTGCAACACAAGCCAGTGGGATCAAAAGAATCTCCAAAAAAACAATCGACATTACCAAAACAAGGATCGGGTGTTAGAACTATCATAATTGGACAGCCTACTATTGATGTTCATTTAAGATCAGAGGGTTCAAGTAATGTGCTTACAAATGATGATGCTAATAAATCTCAAGAAACACCCAAACGTAAAGCGGTCCAGGATGCTCGCAAAGCATTGGGATTTGCTGATACATTAAATCACGAATTGAAATTGAAATTTGACAAGCAGTATATTTGTCGTAAGAAAAGGTCTTTGGGGTCTCCGGTTACGTTTGTAGACATTTCATTATCAATAAATTGTTTAAATAAGATAGATTGTGGATTATGGACATTGTCAAGAAAATTAAATGATAATGTTGTGAATTTATTAATCGTACACGGGGAAAGGTTAGGTTTATCTATTTAATTTACGATTAGTATTAAGAAATTATTTATAATTTGTAAAATTCTTTTTACTGACTATAGAATACGCGAATTGGTTACTTTGCAAACTTTGGTAACTTCAACAGAGTTACTTCCAACAAGAAAATTATCAACACCTATTGATTTTAAATTAGAGTAAATTAATTTCATAACTTTATTTAAAAGTCAAAAATAATGTATTCTATTTTATTTCTAATCTTTTTGTATTTTAGGCTTCTTGGGTCTGATAGTATAATATCGCACCTAAAATCACTTTCATATGACCAAATACCAGATGAAAATGGAGCCGGTGTTTGGTGGAATATGGTCAATCAAAAATGTGTTACTGCCAACGGAGTGAAAATACGATGGAGGGAAGATTGTAAGTTAAAACTTCATATATATATATATTTATTTAGATTTTATTAATTTAAGAATTATTTATCGGGTAATACATTTTATTTTTTTATTTTTTATAGGTGATAACACTTATGTACAGATAACTCATATATCCCCTCTTGTATTGTTTGCATCAGCTGTAGAATATTTTTCAAACTTGATGCAACATCTCGCTACCATTAATAGCGGAACAAAAGATGTTTCACTAGCATCTACAAGATCATGGCAAACCATGAAGATCCTTGCAAGTGAAGCCAAACAATTGGTTAAGCAAGAAGACGCAAAGATTATGAAACGAGATGACGAAATGAGACATCGAATTAAAGAATCTATCATATTCTTATTACGAAAAATGCCAAACTTTGGAAATAGAATTTCATATATCGATTTTAATGATCATGAACCGTCACTTGTAATGGTTGAAAGAAAAGGTGATGATGAGATTTGGTATAATGATCAAATGGTAGTTAAATTGTTGTGGAGGTATAATGCAGAATCTGATGAAATAACTCATGAGCAATAGCCATAGATTATTACTGTAGATAGTAGAATGACATTTCATCAAATAATTGGATTTATTTCTTTTACTATATAATTCATAGAAAAAGAGATCTTTAATAAAATTTACAGATTTCTTTTTTTTTAAAAAAAAAAAGTTTAAAAAAATGACATTAAAAAAGTAAACACTTAATTTTTATAGACTTTCTAATATTAAATTTGGCTCTATTAAATTTATTGTATATCATAATCTAAGAAGAGAAGGCTACCAAAATCACTCCTAAATCGATGAAATTACCGGCATCGGCCAACTTCAATCGGTCAATTGTCCCGGGAATAATAAAAATAGTTGTAATTGGTCCGACTCAAAATCGATGTTATTTCGATCCGTCGACTAACAGAATTATGTATTTTTGACGTTTTCGATATTTTCGTTCAAATATTTAGATTCCGCGTGATCAGTAGCCCTAAAAATCTTCAACTATTGCGCATTTAATCGTTAAAAATTACGTTGCAGGTTTTATAAAAAGTAAAAGTTATGATATCATAATTACGATTAGTCAAATATTTAACTTTAAAATGACATAATAATGATAATAATCGTTCTTCTAGGCAGTACAATTTTTATAATGATTACAAATACGATTCGTTTAACTACTGTCTTTGCAAGCTATAAAGCACATAAGTTTTTGAGCTTTGACAGAAATATATTTCAAAAAATGGCACAAACACAAGTTAAAGTCGGTGATAAAATTCCTGAATATTTGTATTTTGGTTTATTAGACAATAATGAAGATGAACCTAAAAAAATGACTTCAGGTGAAGTCTTTAAGGGAAAGAAAGTTGTATTGTTTGGGATTCCCGGTATGTTTAGAAAAAAACAAAATTTTTGTACAAATAATAATAGAATTTAAAATGATGATATATTTGTAACAAAGTGTTCTCTTGAATTCTTGATATTAATACATTGTCATTTGAAAAATAATTATAGGAGCGTTCACTTCCGTATGTAGTTCTAAACATCTTCCACAATTCGTTGATAATTATGATAAATTTAAAGCTAAAGGCATAGATACTATCGCTTGCACTGCTGTTAACGGTTAGTTCATTTTCTTCATTTTCTTTATTTTTTATAAAATTTCCTGGTTTTTTTACTCATTTTATTCGCTTTATTCCATTTTTATAATTAGATCCCTACGTATTGCGTGAATGGGCTAACGCTCATAAAGTTGGATCTAAAGTTTTAATGCTTGGCGATGGTGAAATGTCATTTCACAGTGCATTAGGTCTTACACAACGTTTACCATTCGCTGGTGAACGTGGTTTACGTTTTTCGATGTTCGTCGATGATAGTGTTATTAAAATTTTAAACGTTGAAGACCCTGGTCCACTTAATTATAAAATTTCAGGTCCGGAAAATATGTTGAAACTATTGGAAGAGTCGGGAAAAAAGTGAATTATAGTACACGTATTTAGATATTTTATTTTGTGTGCTTTGAATTTTCGTTATTTTTTTAGCACAAAAAATACGGTAGCGTTAGCATATTGTCATTATAATTTAGTTTTTAGCATATATAAAAGTATTTTTGAAATAAAAAATGCTGCAATTTTTTTGAGCAACTAAAATTAGATTGTGATATTTTTAAACTCCCACTCGATGTCTAATTTTGATCGCGACAAAAAAACACCTGTCCTGATGTTCGTATAGGCGTTTTTATACGTAGTTAACACAAGCCGGTCAACTTTGACCGGCCCAATTTGACCGATAATGTTTACAATAAAGTTGACAATACTTAAAGGTTCAAATTTTTAAAGATTTCAGAATACATAACTTTCTTTAAAAAAAATAGGTAACTAAAAGAGCTTTATAACGTGCAAGGTGCTGACAGCTCATTATAAGTGAATGCTTTTAATTAGCGATATAAGGGAGAGTTGGGTATTATGGCACACTTAAGAGTTGCACATGTCAAAATTTTAGAAAAACGTATTTATTTACAAAATTTAGCGAAATAAAATAACATTCGATTTACTATCGAATAAAAAAATAATACACAATAAGGTATTAAATGAATCATTATTAATTAAAGAGCTACGCAACATTAAACTTTTATTTCGCTTTATTAAATACAGTATACAGATTCTTATTTTTGTCCGCTAAAAATTTTATTTATTTTTTTATATATGCAATTGTAAGACAAAGTTATTAAATAAACTAGTAATTTTTTTCAACTTAAGTACTGTATAAATTTGGTTGCGTATTTTTTTTTTTGTAACATACTTTAGATTTAAAACAAATAATTCTAAATGTTAAAAACTATATTTCTAACTAAAAGAGCAGTTTGTAACTCGTACTAGTCATTCAGTCATTCCAAATAAATTATATGGTCAATGACGCGTATTTTTTTTTTCCAGTGGGACAAAGAAAAAAGGGCCAGTTGGGTCAAAACGATGTATTTGCATGCGATTTTTATATAATTTTTGAATCATCCCAATGAGACGAATGGAATGGTACTAATATAATTTGATTCTGAGTGGGATATGGCCGAAAAACCTATGTGCGTCAAATTACCCACCCGTGCCAGAATACCCGATTCTCTCTCACATCACAGAATAACGGTATAATTGAAATAATTAATTATTAAAATAGAACAAAGTTTGCTAATTTACTCGTTTGAAATTAAAATAGCAAGTAAAATAAAGTTAGTAATGCATCCCTGACATAGTGATAGAATTAATTTCAGTGTACAAAGTCACGAGACATATACTTAAACGATACAGAATGACAAATTCGTATATATTTGCTGACTAAAATTTCGGTATCGGCATGCTGTGGCTTGCCGAAACCGAATTGTAAAATTATAATCTAAAAAAATATATATAAAGGCAAAAAAAAGATGAAATACACATAAGATACATAAGATGCATCGATTAGTCAGAAAGCCATTTTTCATAAGAAATGTAAGTTTCTGATTTTAAAGTTCTGATTTTTTTTTAAATAGTTTAAATGTGTTTTGTGATATCGTATTATTTTTCTTAATTTTATTTATTTATTTTTTAATTTTTTATTTTTTTAGTTTTCTCGAGGCTATTCCACAGCTAATGGCATTAATGTGAAGAATTATTATCTTTAGATCATCGATTATATTCAATAATGAATTAAATAATAATAATTATAAATAAAATTCTTATATAGCAAGTTGTGATTGCATCTGCAGCGAGAACGCCAGTCGGTTGTTTTAAAGGATCGTTAAAGAAATTAACTGCTCCGGAACTTGGTGCTGTAGCTGCAGCAGGTGCAATTGAAAAAGCTGGTTCGTATTAATAATGTAATATTCTTTTATCTTCGAACAAATTGAAAAATTACATTCAAATTTTTAATTTATTTAAAAAATGTACAGGTCTGAAACCAGAACAGATCGAAGAAGTGTATTTTGGTAATGTTCTTCAAGCAAACCTTGGTCAATCTCCTGCTCGTCAAGTTGCTCTTAAAGCAGGTAATTAACAAATCATTAATGTCATTATTTTATTCTTGGTTATTAACAAGATTTTCAAATTAGGCTGCAAGCATTCGACAGAGGCAACAACAATTAATAAAGTTTGTGCTTCTGGTATGAAGGCTGTCATACTAGCTGCACAAAATTTAGCGCTTGGTAATAGATCGATTATGATTGCCGGTGGTATGGAAAGTATGTCTAATACTCCGTAAGTAATTTTATTCGATTTAACAATTTTTTTCGAAAATTATATTTGATTATTTACGATGGATCTTACAGATTCTATTCACCGAGAAATGTCGTGTATGGTCATCAAATTTTGGCAGATGGAATAATTAAAGATGGTTTATGGGATGTTTATAATCAGATACAGTATGTATTATTGTGTCCACATGTGGTCAAGAGAGATCAATGTAATTCAAGACAATAATTAACAATGTTTGTATATTAGCATGGTATAGTAAGCAAATTTTCGGGATTTTTAAGCGAATACGACAATATTTTGACTAGAATTTTTCGAAATAATAATAGGGTAATTGTGCAGAAAATACTGCTAAAAAATATGACATATCGAGGGAATTGCAAGATATGCATGCCGCTGAGTCATATAGACGCGCCGCTGAAGCTTGGAAGGTATTATATATTATATTCCTATGGTTTTATTTTTCTTTCTCATAAAAATTATATTTTGCAATTTTTTTTAGAATGGTGTTTTCAAAGCTGAGGTTGTTCCCGTAACAGTCAAAGATCGCAAAAAAGATACAATTGTTGACGAAGACGAAGAATATAAAAATGTTAAATTTGACAGAATTCCTGAGATAAAACCTGTTTTTCAACCTAATGGTGGTGAGTGATCTGTTTTTTTTTTAAATTTATCATAATACATTTAATTAATATATATTTTTACATTATCCTCATAGGAACTGTAACTGCGGCCAATGCATCGACGATTAACGATGGTGCTAGTGCCCTAGTGCTAATGACACGTGCAAAAGCTGAAGAACTTGGTATAAAACCATTAGCTCGAATTATTTGTAAGTAGTTATTACTTTATATCTATATTGTACTATTCTTGTTCTCTAATTACAGAATTACAATATATATTGGATTTAGCCTATGGTGATGCTGCAGTTGAACCAATCGATTTTCCAATTGCACCATCACAATCACTTCCAGTTGCTTTGAAAAACGCAGGACTTAGTATTTCGGATATTAGCTTATTTGAGTTTAACGAGGCGTTTAGTGTAGTTATACGAGCAAATGAAAAGATTTTAGGTTTAGATCCCAGTAAAGTTAATATTGCTGGTGGTGCAGTTGCGTTAGGACATCCAATTGGTTCTTCAGGTTCCAGGATAATTGTTACTTTGACACATTTACTAAAGTCTGGTCAAATTGGTGCTGCATCAATTTGTAATGGTGGTGGTGGTGCTAGTTCCATCATTATTGAAAAACTTTAAGTTTATTAAGATGACTATTTACAATTATAGTTTAATGTAAGAGGATATAAATGAACTAATAAATAGATTTGTTCTAGCAATTTTACCGATTTTTACTGGTTAAAGTGGCTGATATTTTTATATAAAATTATTATTTATTATAAATTATGTAATAGTTCTATGCTGGTAATTGGTAAAGTGAAAATTTACTGGTAAAATATTTACTGTGTAAGCAACAGATGTCATACTTTCCTAGTAAATTCTCGTTATATCCAATTATTCAAGAATAACGATAATTAATTTATCCCCTACCATCCAATGTAACATAGTATTTATATTCAATACCAAATTAAATATATATATGTATTGTGGAAATAAGTTCATGAAAAAAGTTATGTGGATGGGATTTGTCAGTGATAAAGAATATATTAATAAAGGATTCAGAATTTGCTTGAATTTAATTGTACGAATTAGTCGTCTCAACTCGTGATTCACAAATTAAACTCAGAAGAGTGCTCGAATCATTTGATTGAGTCATTTATTTGAATCTATTCGAATTATAAAAATTTAAATAAAGAAGCTATGGATACCAGACTCAAGACTCGACACCTGAAAAATCTGATCAGCGACGTCCGTGATTAGATATAATAGACTTGAAACTCCAAAATCCGGGTTGTGATAAGCTTGAATTATTTGAATCACGAATTGACGAGTAACTACTTACGTTTTTATTAAAGGGTTATAGTCATGTGGGTGACGGTTCCAATACGATAATATTAATATAGCTGACTGTGCAAAGTTAAAAGTAACAATACAATTATTGATATTCATACATTATCAATATGCAATACGTAGTATGTACTGTACGTACAAAGAATATAAATAGGTAGAATACAAGCATAATAAAATTCCAATTTCTAATACACAAATCAAATAAACCGAGAGTAATTGTTAAAAAAATTTCAATTACTGTCTGTATAAAGACGCGAATACACAAATCTGATTTGTGTGATCGTTATCACATGAGAAATTTTGTTATAAACTTTGAAATTCTTCACTGAAAAAAGTGAAATCATCCCATATAAACAATCGACTTATACATCGATGGCCAAACCTCACATACAGTATGATACTTGTATGGGCTTCTAATTTCATATTTGATGATCTGCTTTGAAGCAGCAACAAAATATTTTAGTAGTTGCAACTATTGTAATCTTGTAAAATTTCTATAACTCTTGATATTTAGACTTTACCAAAATTGAATCATTTTTAAAAATTGTTACTCATTTGATTTGATAACAATTAGAATTTGCAACAAATAATTCTTGATTTTATTCAATTAAAAAAAATTCATACTAGAGTAAATATTGCCAATATAATATTAAGCGATCTTGGTGATAATGCAACAAACAATAATATAATATTTCAACATTTTACTCTATGAAGTATATAGAAATTATATTAGAATTTACTGTATATGATTTACCTTTTGTTAACACATAAATGACATAGAATTTTTTTCAAATATACAACATGTCAATTTTTGCCTTTTTTGCTAACTTTTTTCATATCAAACTTTCTCACAAACTTCTCTGAAATAATCATAAAAATTTATTTTTTCATGTGTCTTAGTAAATCAACAGTTTTGTAGAAACATCTTAGATATATATATTTAGGAAATAATATCTGCAATAAAATAAATTTCAAGAACACTAAAGTAACTTTGATCAAAATTTATAATTCTTATAAAGAACTAGCTAAAAACCTATACAATAATGCATAAGAATAAATATATATAATCTAGAATAAATAATAAATTTTAAACTAAATTATATTATAATTATATTTTAATTTTTTAATTTAGTTTATTTAAAGGTTTTGTTAATTTTTTATAACTATATTGCTATATTAAATTATACAATATAAAATAATTGATCAATGAAAAAACTCTTTCTGATAATCGTTTGTACCAGCAAGTTCAAACATTTTTTGCAAAAACACAATAGTGTATAGTAAAAACAAAAAGTATACTAGCAGCAAAAAGCTAGTAGTTGTTATTTAGAGGTAGTTCTCATATGTTACCTGCTAACTTCTCTAGAGTTTATATGCATAGAACTTGTTATTTAGAAATAGTTCTCATATATTATTTGCCAACAAGCCCAGAGTTTATCACTCACTGAAAAGAAAGTATAGGTGCCTTACTCTTTTTCTAAAAAAAGGTTTAGAAGTTGTTAAGTCTTTTTATAGATATAACTACTTTTCTTGAATGCAAGTAGTCTCTCTAGATCTTTCTTGTTGCTTGGCTAGTCTTTCAAAAATTTTTGAAAAAAGTGGGCAATTTGGTTTACTCCCTCAAAAAGATCGATATTGTTTATTTACCAAATTTGAATATACCCAGAAATGCAACTACATGTTTTGTTTATTGGCAAATACAATATATAAAATAATCAGTAAATACAGAGTCCTCCATGTGACTGGAATTGGGTCTCTGGTATAAGAGGCATCTGAAGGTAGCTAGTAGTTAAATAGTATTTTGTTAAGGTTTTGCATTATAGTTGAGATATACAAATGTTGCAGTTGTTATAAAATTTTTTCTTAAACCTAGCATGAGTTATAATAGTGTATTTTTTTTTTTTTTTTTTTCCATTTGTACTATTTCTTAATAAAAGTAGTTCCCTCTTTGTTAGCCCTTAGACTTTTCTCTTTGAATTTTTTTTTTTATATATTATTATACTTCTTTTGTTTTTTTAAAAAAAATTTTTCTTTATTCTATTTGTTTTTTTAGTTAGTTTTGTTGTTTTGTCTTCTTGATATTATTGGTAGTTTTGTATTAGATATAAGGTTATTGCTTTCTTTTACTCTTGGTAAAAAAAGAAGATATAAAGAAAATAGCCTTGACAGGCTGGCAAAGTTTATCTAACTTGTATACAGGTTGGTGTAACAAGTCATATGTAGATACATTTATTATAGCTAGATGATGTTAGGCTCACAATTATGAGTCTTTCTGTTTAGTTTAGAAATAATATACATTTATTGTTTGCGATAGTTACTATCACTAATTAAATAAAGTCTTAAAAATAGAGCATTGGCAAGACTGTCAAAGATTAAAAAAATAATAATAATAATATTTTTTTTTTTTAAATTTCGGCAGTCTTGTCTCTACTTTATTAGGCTTAATAATATTATACTATGAAATATTAAAATTTTCAAGAGGCTATTCCTCTTGACACCTAACTTACAAGTATTAGCTCACCCGGTTATTCAATGAACACCTATATGTGACCTGCTATAGTAAGTTTTACCTCCATATTAACTTGTTCTGCACTTGGATTCATTAATACTTTGACAAAAGGTTCTTATGGCCTGTCAAGACTACTAATTACTTTTCCACCACTCTGCATGTTGACTATCTATAATCTAATTTGATACTTCATTTCTTACTATTTCCAATATTGAGATCCATCTTTCGCTTTCTTCTTTTTTCCTATTTTTCTGTTCAAGTAATTTGTCAGATATGGTTTTTTTCTCGTCTATAGCCTTCTTTTTCTTCTTTCTTTCTCATTTAGATTTTGGAGTGGTATTCTTCTTTTCATTAGGCACTATGCCATTTTTTTCTTCCTATTCCTGTACAAGTTTGCATCTAAGAACCTATATTGTCTCGTGTATCCTCTTCATCCAATTCTTTCAGAGCCGAATTATGAACTTTTTTGCTTGGTTGTTAGAATCGAAGAATGGGCGAATCTCTTTGAAGTCACTATTTGTAATAAGGCCTCTAATCCTTCTTTCTCTTTTTCTCAGTTCTTTAGATGTACTTCCTTTACCCAACATTACAAGAATGTCTTCTTTATCTATGCTTATATTGCTTTCTTCTTCGAGCTTTTTTAAAATTAGTTCTACTTCTTGTTCTTCTATACTATACAACAATTCGAGGAAAACTTCGCAACTAACTAAATACTCAACATTCTCAGTTTTCTTTTTACATACTACATATTTGTTTGTTTTGTAAACATTTGGTTTTCTCTGATTTAGCCTTTCAAAACCCGGTAATAAATTGTTTATACACTTTAATTCAAAGAGCTGAATATTATTTGATATGAATATATGATTTTGTTGCTTAATTCCACTTTTTAAAAGTTCATAGAATATTGACTAGCACTAATGAGTCTTTTTTTTTCTATATGTAGTATTTTGAGTACTGTGTGCAAAGGTCTATTTATTACTTTTCTAAGCATTTTGGTAAAAGATTGTAGTGGCTTTTCTACTAGTTCATTTTCTTATTTTAGTTTTAATTTGTATCTTTTTGTACTTAGCGATACCAGAGTTAAAAATTCTAAGCTGGTTGCACCTTCTCTGGCTTTAAGATCTGCCAGATCATTAAAAAAAATACCTGATTGTCCTTTGACTTTTGTGAGGTGTAGCTTCAGCTGTTTTGTCTAAACCACTTCTGTTAATGTTGCGATGAGGCCACTATTTTTAATCTTTAGCCACTATCTTGTTTTATTTGACTCCAGATCTTTTTTAATTGCTAAAATTGCTGCCTTACTATCTGTTCTGATTTCAACCTCTTTTTTTTTTGGTACTACTAATAAGGCAATAAGAATCACAACTAACTCAGCTCTGGTCGAAGAAAACCACTTTTAAGTTACACATGCTATTTAATGAATGATTTGATCTTCTTTATCTATTTGGATTATTCTACAGCCCATTTGCATTTTCAAATCGTTTTCTGACATCTCAAGTGAGCCATCTGTGTAAAACAAAAGACTATCTAATTCTCTATTTTGCTCTAAAACTTTGACTAACCTATTTCTTAATTCTTTGTCTAAAACTACTCTATCTATTAATAGTTTTTCCTAGCTTTCAACTTCTATTATCAGTATGTTTTGTCTTTTTACACTTTGTAACTCTTTGGGAAATACCATGATTTTTTCCTTCTTTTTTTCTAATACTTTTTTAAGAGTGTTTGTGTTGAGGATTAGTTTTGCACCTTTTTTAGTTTTTTGTACAAAGTTTAAAATGTC